TATTTATCTCATGCTTGTGCAGGACATTCTTCATCGGATACACGCCCTTATGCCCGATGCGAGATGCTGCTCAGGCTGCCTGTGTGTCTCATGCTTTTCTGCGTTCTTGGAGATGCTATCCCAATCTCATCATTTCTATTGATTCACTATGCATAAATGAATATGGATCTCGGTATGATGAATTAACAATGGATTTTATCACTAGAGTTGAGCACATTATGCAGAATCACTCTGGCATGGGAGTGAAGGAATTTAGACTACAAAGCTACCCTTGTTCCACTATAGATCCCAGCTATCTTGATCACTGGATTCAAGTTGCCATGACACCTGGGATTAAAGAGTTTGAACTATCATTGTTTGAAATCAGTGACATCAAGTACAGTTTTCCATGTTCTCTTTTATCTAGTGAGAGGGGAAGCTCCATTCAGTCTTTGATGCTTTCTGGGTGTTCTATTCACTCCATAGCACAAGTTGGTTGCATGAGTAGCCTGACAAATTTAGTTTTGTATTCAGTCGACATCAGTGGCGAGCAACTATTACATTTTCTGTCCAATTCTTGTGCTTTGGAGAAAATTTCCCTTTCCAACTGCAATACTATAATTTGCTTGAAGATACCTTGTCAGCTGCAAAAGCTTAATATCCTGAGCGTGCTGGACTGCCAAATGCTGGAGATGATTGACAGCAATGTCTCAAATCTCTCAACTTTCTTCTGTACAGGACGCCAAATACATATCTCACTAGGACATGCATTTCAAGTGAAGGAAATAAGATTTTCCTGTCACTATTCATCAAACGCACTTTATTATGCTATTACCAAACTTCCATTCATTGCGCCAAATCTCCAAACTCTATTTCTGTCAACCAGTGATGAGGTCAGTTTTATGCTTGCTAATTAATCCATTTTTATGAAATCAAAGTGCCATAGAATAGTTGTATGTTTGCAGTACTCAATAAATCATATTTTGCTCATGACTAACCTTTGGGCATCTCTGTCTTCAGACTATCAATACACCAATGACGTTAGGCAAATTCCTCCAGCTGAAGTACTTGGAGATTACATTGTGTGCTACAAATTTTTCTCCAGACTATGACTTTAGCTCCCTGGTATCTTTTCTTGATGCATGTCCCACCTTGGAGACATTGATCATACGTGTAAGTCTTCATTTACCTCTGAAAAGCTGCCCATGATGAAAACCGAATTAGCAATTATCCGTGGTGATATATACTTTTGAAATGTATTTATATGACAACAACAATAATATCCTTCACCTAACTAAAGAATTGGCAAGATGTGAACCGGCCATGTTCCTGTTTCTGAACTTAGCTGGCTCAGATTGAGAAACCTGACAGTTCAGATTTTTCTATTTCTCAAATGTACAGAAGATCTACATATCATTTCATTAATAAGAGAGTAGATAAACACAAGAGTGGAGAGAAAACTCTTGCCCACCCAAAGACACACCCAGACACATGCTTACAGAAATACACCCAAACACAAAAGGAAAAACTAAGAAAGACAGTCTCAACCAAGAGAGGGAAAAAAACGGAACAGGAGACCAGAAACTCCAGAACTAAAAATCACATAACCACATTAAGCTCCTGGAGATCTTTCTCTTCAGCCGAGCACCAGAGGACACACTCATCTGCAACTGCATGTAAGATTGTCCAGACATTTGGCATTGTCTTATTAAAATCACATTCATTCCAGTGCTTCCAGATTTCCCATGCTACTATAACGATGAGTGTGTTGAGTCCTTTCCTGATTTCCTTTGGCAAATTCTTGATTGCCTTGTCGGGTTCAGCTTTCTAGCACAAGGCATTTGAAAAAGTGGAAACCATGTATTACTTGCTGATTGGGACAATGTTTTCAAGTCGTCCAGTCGAACCTAGTCGCCATGGGACCGACCAGAAGACTAATCGCGATTAGTCGTCGACCAGGACGATTAGTCGAACCTAGTCGACCCCTGGTCGTCCTATATATCAGGATATATATACCTACTATATATATACCTATATATACTATATAGTATACACAATAAAGCAAGCATCAAGAGCAGAGCAGCAGCAGCCAGGAGAGGAGAGGAGAGCAGCAGCAGCCAGGAGAGGAGAAGAGAGCAGCAGCAGCAGCCAGGAGAGGAGAGGAGAGGAGAGCAGCAGCAGCCAGGAGAGGAGAAGAGAGCAGCAGCAGCCAGGAGAGGAGAGCAGCAGCAGCCAAGGAGACGAGCCAGGAGAGGAGAGGAGACGAGCGCAGCAGCAGCCAGGAGAGGAGAGAAAGAGCAGAGCAGCAGCCTCTTGTATATATATTACAAGCCCTAGTGGGCCAAATTGGCAGCCCAACTACTCACCTGGAAGCCCAGTCAGGCAAGCCCAAAGAAGGCAGTGCCCAGCTTGGTCGTGCAGCCCTCTGGTCGGACGACTAATCGTGATTAGTCGTCGACTAGTCGGACGACCAGGTTTCTAGTCGAGCTAATCGAGTCGAAGTCTCTAATCGAGGTCATGGTACCGACCAGACCGATTAATCGCGATTAATCGCGATTAATCGCGATTAATCGGACGACTTGTAAACATTGGATTGGGAACTGGATTTTACTTGTTGCTGGATATTTCCTTAGCCATGGTTGTTACAAGTGAATTACATGTTTGTGGCGAAGATTGGTGTATCCAGTCTAACTGAACCTTCTAGTTATCATGGAAGAGACACTGACTTTATTATTCCTGTGCAGATTGGGCTGCCAACCATTAGGCACGATTCGATTCTCGAAGATCCTGATGGTGATTCCTCACAACTACAATGCCTCTCAGAATGCTACCATGACAACCTCAAGAATGTGATGATAACAGGGTTTTGCTCCGCAAAGAGCATGGTCGAGCTCACCATCCACATTATGCAGAAAGCAAGGTCACTAGACTGCCTTACGTTAGACACTACCCGTGGCCATGACAGGAGGTTTGCCAACATTGATAGGTGCTGGCCACTCGATGAGGAGGCACTTGTAGAGGCTGGAAAGGCTCGTGTTGCCATTGAAAGATACATTGAGGAGAGAGTGCCCCCATCTGTGAACCTGAAGATTGTCGAGCCGTGCAGCAAGTGCACATACAGATAAACAGTGGAGGTTCACATGAATAAAGCCCCTATGTGCACGGATGTAATGTTTTGACGTTTTGTTGACTTCTTAAAAGACACTAAACTCTGCACCCTTGCCGGATAGATTGCCCAACAGTACTATTTTATCTACATGCCTTTCTCATAAGTTTTGTGGTCATATCGTAATACTGTGTATGATGAAAGAATGTGAGATTCTTGTAGCGTTTATCAATAGAAAAGGAAGGCACTGAAGCTTTCGAGTTAGCATTGGATAGTGCAGATGAGTTTTCTCCCCCCCTGGAATATGCTTAAAGTTCGTTTGGATCCTGCAATATGGTAACTTCATATTTCCTATAATCTACTTCCTTCATTTCAAATTATAAAATGTTTTGAGTTTTCTAGATATATAGTTTTTCTATGCATTTAAATATATGATTTGTCTCTATACATAGTAAAAATAATATATCTAGAAAAGTCAAAACGTTTTATAATTAAAATTAATTGGAATGGAGGGAGTAGTTGTTTGCATCACATGATCGGTATCATGGCATTGCTTGGGCGCAGGAAGTAATAATAAGTCCGATGACCTCCCAAGTCCCCCTACCTCTTGTGGTGGCAAAGAAGATGAGTTTCGTTAAGGTACATGGAAGAGGGTCGATATTGCAGGCAATTATTCTTGAGTCTTTTCCTCGTGTGTCATTAAAAATGTTTGCAATTCTATATGTGCTATTAAAAAAATTGAGCGATCACAGATGTCACTAGTCAGAACTTTTTTTGTCTTCACCATTCATTCCGCATTCCGTTCACATTCCGTTGGCATTTCATGGTTTAGCAACCCTGATATGTGGGCCCGGCTAGTGAAAATGTCCCTCTCTCCTACCCCTATTCTCTCTCGCATGCTCACACACACACGGAGAGAGGTGGCGGCGGCGGCGGAGCGCCCGTCTAAGGCGGCCGGGTGCACGTCGGGAGGTGGACGCGCTCGCAAGGTGAGCTCGCCGCACGTGCACCATTCGCGTTGGCCAAGGTGTGACCGTGCGGGAGCTTGCCCACGTTGGCTAGGTGGTGGTGGCGGCGCCGTGGACGATGGAACGGTGGAACGGGAGATGGAGGTCACGGCGAGGCCGGTGCCGGCGGGGTGGTCGCCGCGGTGCGGCACCCAGTAGGGGCCTCCAGGGACGACGATATTGTACACGCGGGGGCGCTGGCCTTGTTCCGCGAGATGCGTGGGCAGAGCTTGCTCGCCGACGAGTACACCTTTCCCGCCGCTACTCCACCCCACGACGCTCCTGCGGGGATCGCTCTCGGGGTCGGTCGGTGCACGCCGCCACAATTCGCCGCGAGCTCCACCCGTTCTGCAACCCATTTCATGTGGACGACCCTCATTGTGGAGTATGCGCAGAACGACCGTGGCAGTAGTCGCTCAAGGTCTACGTCGATATGGTCCGATCCGAGTACAAGCCAGACTACGTGACCTTCGTCGATGTGCTCTTCGCGTGGAGGCGATGCGGGAGCCAGTCCGAGGAGAGCAACGGGGAGATGTCCGTGGAGGTGTCCAGGCCTACAGGGCCACGGCCAAGCGTACTGACGGTGAGACGGGGCACTAGGGGTATGGAGAGCAAAATGATCATTTTATCCATTTGTTTGACCTATTAGCAGTAAATGTGGACTGAACGGCATCGAGGAAAAAAAGAAAAAAAAAGTTTGGAATTGTGACATCTACCACTAAAAAAAATTATTTCAAAAAAAAATTGAAAAAAATAATTGCACACGGGAAAAGAATTTTTTCTACGTGTTTCGTTCACCTCCTCGAGAGTCCACTTACACTTACACGCGGGCCCCGCCAACTTTATGAACGCTCTGCCCTCCCCGCTTTCCCACCCCCGCGGCTCTTGCCTCTTATCCCCAGCCGAAAATGGACGCCACCACCGCCGCGGCTGTGAGGCGCCTCCTCCTCCCGCCCCGCGCCCTTCCGCCGGCGCCGCCGCGGGGCGCGGCGGTCTCCGCGAGCCCCCGGCGGCGATTCCGGGCCGCCCCGGCGCGCGCGTCGCTGGACAGCGCCGCGGTCCTGCTCGACGCCGCGGCCGCGGTGGCCGCCGGTGGGACAGGTTACTCGCAGGCGAGCTATTACACATCGCTGGGGCTCTTCGTTCTCTCCGTGCCGGGGCTGTGGTCCCTCATCAAGCGCTCCGTCAAGTCCAAGGTCCCGGATCCATCCCTGTGCCCCTCTCCCCTCTTCCGTTCCATCCTCGTTTTCCGTTGCTTGTTGCTCGCCCCCGCACTCGCGCTCGTCGCTGCTCCGAGCTAGTGCGCGCGCGCGCGCGAGCACGAGTGCCCTGTGAGCAGGGCGCGCACCACACGCACGCCTGTGTGCGCTGTTCTCGTGCCACACTTGATCGTCAGCGTACAGTAATTCCGAGTAGATGCACCCGTGCCTGCTGAATCGGGTAATTCTGGCTCCTGGATGAGCTTATCTTGTGTCTCGGCGAGCTTACACACGGGTTTGAGCTTCTGTGATTAGCTTTGATGCAGGTTTCGTTCTTCCTTCCTTTCGAGATGTGACTGCTAGTGCTCTGTGATGTGGGCAGTGGTAGTGGAGTGGACTTGTGTCGGCAAAAGATGATATACCTTCTTCTTTTCTTATTTGATTTGCATGGTCCAAGATGCCACCACCACGTCCGATAGGGACCGCACTGCATTGCATAATTAAAAAAATTTAGTTGTCCTCTTGATGGCAATTGGCAAAGTTGTTTTATCACAAACAGTTTCATATCGAGTAAACTATACCTGCTAGTTCAGAGGTTTATGTGGGTTTCTTGAACCCCATTTTTTTTGGGTTCTTGACCAAAATTCAGCAGCACTGTTTGTCATGTATGCCAAATTGGTGGATGTAGATTGTGCAAAAGACATTTATCAAAGAGGAAGGGCAGTTGATGGCGCCAAATCAGGTGGCTGGAGAGATCCTGTCGTTCTTCACACGCAACAATTTCACCGTCTCAGACCGTGGGGAGGTCATCACGTAAGTTGCATGCTAGCTTGTGTCCTGCTGCAGTAATACATAGTTTGGCTATGCTTTTCTCTTTATGAAACAAAACTCTACTTAGCTTAGATTTAGCTATGTTGTGTCTTGATTCTACTGCCAAGCTAACTCTAAGTTCGCATCAATCCCCATCTTAGTGTTGGACACAGTAATTTGGTGTTTCAAACACCAAAATTTGTTTTCATCGTAATAGGAGTATGCAAATGATTAGTACGGTGGTAGTGTAGCCGCTTAGCAGCTTGCCCCGTCATCAGTGTGTTCCATAGTGTGAAACTGCAGTTCACAGTGTTTCTGTAATGTAATCCAGCACAAGCTCATGGATTTTCTCCTACATGGGAAATTGGGAATACCTTATAAGCTGAACTGAGGTATATTTTGCTTCTGAACCAGATTTGAGGGCACAATGATACCAAGCAGAGGGCAGGCGGCGCTGCTAACCTTCTGCACCTGCATTAGCCTTGGGAGTGTTGGGCTCGTTCTATCAATCGCTGTACCAGAAGGCGGCAACAACTGGTTCTGGCTTATGACCCTAAGCCCCTTGGCGTATGTCTATGATACTTAAACTCCCAGCAATTCAGAATGAATCTTCCAGTACAAATGTAGTAACTGACCCTTCATGAGGTCCAGGGAGTGTACTACTGGACAAAAGCATCAAGGAAAGAAGAGATCAAGGTCAAGATGATCCTATCCGATGATGGGAATGTATCCGAGATCCTTGTGCAGGGTGATGACGTCCAAGTTGAACAGATGAGGAAGGAGCTCAAGTTCAGCGAGAAGGGGATGATATATGTGAAGGGCATCTTTGAGACATGACTGGGAGTTTGATATCTGTGAGTGAACAGTCGAGACGAGTCTTTGCTGCACCGGAAACTGCGGAACTCAGGTAAGGAAATTAATGCAAATTGGACGGGCAAATCTGTACCCTGGCTTATAAAGGAAAAAGAAGTGATCTTCATACGGGATTTGATTATTGTAAGTGTTGCCAGTATGAGGATAGTTAATGTATGAACTCAAACTAATGACTTTGTAAAAAGTTGATGAGAAGCACCTTTCTGAGCATGAAAATACCAGCCCTTTAACGGGAGAAAGAATTGACTGGAAATTTGGCCGCTGCGCATAGGAGGTTCAATTGGCACCCAGGATTGCAAGTTTGCTCTCCATGTTGCAATTGGGAAGGTCTTGCATATTATTTGTTTATTTTTGCGACCCAGGTAATATTGAGTATGAGGAGGTTTGTTTTAATCTTTTCTTGCTTGTGCATCTGATGTGAAGGGATCGCTTCTGTTCTGGAATGGTCTGTTCTTGCCATCCTGTTAGCTATATTATGTGGAGTTAATTTCACAAAACTACAACTATTTATGACATCATAATAAAGGAACTACAACTTCGTGTAGTCATTTTCGCAAAATTACAATAACTTTGACCCCTGGTACTTCCTTGGTCGCAAATGTGATGTTTTGGTGTTAAATCAATCAGTATCTATTTGTTTTTGGTGTTAAGTCAACCAGTCACAAAATATGTGATGATTTGGTGTCGTCATAAGTCATTCTTTTAAAAATAATTGACCGCAAAATAGTTTTTATGTGTTGAGTTTGAATGTTTCAAAGTAAAAATATATATATTTGCTATATTTTATAGAATTTTTATGATAAAATGTAGTGGTCAATATGTGGAGTGGTTGACTATCACTTATTTTGTGACTGATATCGAGGCGGTCTCAATCCAAAACCTGTGAGATAGTTTTCACAAGTCATATAGACAATAGATGGATGAGAGTGGATGAGATGAGAATAGTTGTCTAATTATATTACTTAAAAAATAATAACATCTAATTATACACTACTACCACCGGTCCATTTTATCTGGCGCACACCTATATCAAGATTCAAACTTTAAAAACTTTGACCAATAATTAGGTTAATAATTTTTAACTATTATAATACAAACTTTATATGATTAGATTTGTAAGGAATTATATTATCCAATGATTATAAGTTTATAAGCATAAATAATATAATATAAAGCAAATGAATGGTCAAAGTGTACTCTAGAAGATCGTATCATTCTAACTTGCGCCAGATAAAATGGTTGGGAGGAGTAATAAACATGCAATAACACTAATTTTGTGATGAAAATCACTGATTAAAAATAAAATTTGTTAATTAGCACTACTAATTGGCACACAAAACGTGCATTGATCAATATATTAGCACTTATCAAAACTAATCTTGTCGTCGTATTTACTAATTAATAATTAATGTAACATACTAATAATCCTTAATTTATTCACTGATATCAAAGATTATAAAACATGGATAAGCTCCTCCGCCAGTTTTTTGGTGACCACTGTATTCAACATCTAGTAGGAATATTCCATGTGATGGATATCTATATTCGGCTAACCTGGCCTATTTGTAACACGCATGAATGCAAAATAAAGAAATGAAAAAACAAACAGGAATAGAATATTGAGAAAAATAGAAAACTATATGATTTCAAAACACAGGAATATAAACTTTGGCGTGTTTCGATTGTAGGAAAATAGGAATATCGCATGTGTCTAAGAAGAGTTTCAGGCTTCAGAACTTGAGAAAACATTACAGAAAATTTTCCTATGGGTTTCTTTGTGATGCTTTGTTTTATGGAGCAACGTTAGGCTTGTGAAGCAAAATGAGTCTTTCCCCTACAAAGGAATGCAGATTTCCTTTTGTTTCAAATAGCAAGTCGAAGATAAAAAAAATAAGTTGAGAAAAACTTTCGTAAAAACTTTATTCCTTTGCTTTTTTCTTGAGAAATCCTTCATTCTAAACAAGGCCAATTTCCATCCAACCAAAGTACCAACGGAGTTGCTAGCGTCCGGACGTCCAATCCAGGCGCTTAGCGTCGGACAAGCGTCGGACGGTGCAAATTCCCGCCCGCACCTCACCATGTCATTTGTACACCTGCCCGCACGCCTGACACACCCGCCTAGACGCCTGACCCGGCCCCATCCACGCACCCCCACCCCATCCGTCACCCCCATCACCCTAGGGCGCACTTCACCCCGTCGTGTCCCCGACCGTTGGCCCTCAGCACGCCCTGCGCCACATCCACCCCCCACCGGCTCGCCGCGCCCCATTCCCTGACGCTCGCTGACTCCCTAAATAGCATGAAACACTTAATGCAACATACGTCTGAAAAACAGATGAAACATCTGGAACATACACTTGCAACATATGTGTGAAAACATATGCAACGTCCAAATAGAGTAATAGACCACTTGCAACATGAAAACACTTGCTACAACAAAAGACTGAAGCAGATGAAATATTTTGAAACATACTGTTGCAACATATGTGTGAAAACATACACAAAATCCAGATCAAAACGATTGCAACATACGTCTGGAAACAGATGAAACATTTTGAACAAACGCTCTGAAACTATTGAAACATATGCAACATCCCCATCTATTTTTGCAACATTCATATGAAAGAATTGCACATACATATGAAACACCTGAAACATACATACGCAACATAGGGGAGGGAAAGGCTGGCCCGATCGTCGGGGTCGAAGACAGCGGCGAGCGGCTGTGCGCGAGCACCACCGCCACCAGCACCACCAGTACCGGGCTGGGCTCGATGCGACGGTGGGGGATGGGGAGTGAGGAGCGCCCAAGGCCGCCGGGGTGGAGGGAGCTTAGTCGCTTGGGTGAGAGAGGGCGCCGCCGGTGGTGGGGAGGGTGCCGCGCCGGGGTTGGGGAGAGTTGCCCGCTCCCCTGCAACACCGTCGTGCTACCTCCATGGATCTCGCCGGGGTGAGAGGAGGATGCCGGGGTGGGCAAGCGAGAGAGGGATAGAGCGGAGCATCAGGGAAGCACCAAGCACGGGAGAGAGGAACTCGTTGGCAGGCGCCGTGTGTGGAGTGAAGCGGAGCAAGGCAATTCGGCCAGGAGGCGAGCAACGTGTGTACGGTAGTGAGATATATTTTCTTTCCAACAAGGTAGTGACTGCGTGTTTAGTTACCTGAATTTTGGAATTTGGGCTACTGTAGCATTTTCGTTTTTATTTGGCAATTAGTGTTCAATCATGGACTAATTAGGCTCAAAACGTTCGTATCGCAATTTCCAACTAAACTATGCAATTAGTTTTTTTCATCTACATTTAATACTCTATACACGTATCGCAAGATTCGATGTAATAAGTACTGTAACATTTTTTAGAATTTAGGTCTGGAACTAAACGCGCGCTGAGATAAACGTGAAGAGGAGTCGCTGGCGTCGCAAGCAGTAGCATTATCGAAGTACCAAACGCATCCTAAGTCAAAATCCCGCCTCCGGTACTGACAAGTGGCCCCGCCAGTCCAACTTGAACCAGGTACGTCATCCGCTGACATATCCGCCGGCACGACGCGCTGGCCCACAGTCAGCCACCTAGCTTCATCCCGTCGTACTCGTGAGTCGTGACGCTTCCCATGCCCCCCCTGCGACCCTGCCGGCCTGCCCCCACTCTCCCACTCCAGATCTCCTCGTCCACCCCGTCGCCGTCGTCTTCCTCCTCTCCGGCCGGCCGATGCGTCCCAAACCCTAGCTCCCCCGTCGCAAAACCCTAGATCCCGCCGCCGCCGGCATGGATCCCTCCTCCGGATCCGCGTCCCGCCACGGTCGCCTCCTCATCTCGCCGTCGCTCTCCACCCCGACCTTCTCCACCCGCTCCCCGTCCCCCTCACCCTCACCGGCCGCGTCCCCCGCGCCGCACCACCACCAGGAGCGCCGCAACTCCACGTCCTCCCCGAAGCCCCTGGTCCCCTTCCCGGCCTCCTCTTCCTCCAGCAGGCCCCGCTCCTCCTTCGGCGGCGCGGGGCCCCGCGGCGCCGCGGCGGCGGCCTCGGCCTCGGGCCCGGCGTTCGCCCACAACACGCGCCTCGCGGCGGCGCTGGTGCCCGCCGCGGCCTTCCTTCTCGACCTTGGCGGGCTCCCCGTCTTCGCCGTCCTCGCCATCGGCCTCGCGGCGGCGTACCTCCTCGACGCGCTCCAGCTGCGCCAGGGCGCCTTCTTCACCGTCTGGGCGGCGCTGCTCGCGGCCGATGTCGCCTTCTTCTTCTCCGCCTCACTATCGTCTGCTGCTGCCGCCTCGCTGCCGCTCACCGTCCTTGCACTGCTTCTCTGCGCCGAGACCTCCTTCCTTATTGGCGTCTGGGCGTCGCTGCAGTTCCGATGGATCCAGCTCGAGAACCCGACCATTGTTGCTGCCCTTGAGCGGTTGCTCTTTGCCTGTGTGCCCATCGCCGTGCCTGCCCTCTTCACGTGGGCTCTCGTATCTGCGGTCGGCATGGCCAATGCATCCTACTACTTTGCCGCGTTCTGCATGGTGTTCTACTGGCTGTTCTCCATACCCCGTCCGTCTAGCTTCAATAGCCGGAAGCAGGATGCTCCAATGCTGGACAGTGATGGCATTCTTGGCCCCTTGGAGAGCTGTGTGCATTCTCTGTATGTGCTGTTCGTGCCGGTGTTGTTCCATGCTGCGTCCCATCATGCCACACTCTTCACATCGTGGGCCAGCGTGTGTGAATTGCTGCTGCTGTTCTTCATACCGTTCTTGTTCCAGCTTTATGCTTCCACTTGGGGTGCACTGTGGTGGATCACCAGGGATGCACGCACAATGGACCAGATAAGAATCGTGAATGGGTTCGTTGCACTGGTCGCGGTGGTGCTTTGCCTTGAGGTGCGAGTTGTGTTCCACGCGTTTGGAAGATACATTCATGCTCCACCACCACTGAATTACCTGCTTGTAACGGTCACGATGCTTGGTGGCGCTTTGGGCCTTGCAGCACATGCTGCGGGCAAGGTTGGGGATGCTGCTAGCTCAGTGGCTTTTACAGGGTTGGCAGTGATAGTCAGTGGAGCAGGAGCTGTAGTCATTGGATTCCCCATGATGGTATGTTGCAGTCTCATTTATGCAATTGGTATCTGCTTATGTGACATTTTGATTTGTTAAAGCTAATGCATGTTGCATGCTACGTTGAACCAAAAAACGTAGTTCTTTGAAATTCATCTTGTATTGTGAAGTTGATATAAGGCTTTGGACTTTTACTAACAATAACTACTGCTTCTGGTCTTGTATGGTACATTTGAGTTTCTCTTCGTTGTCTCTACTCCACATATTTGAGACTAGTTCTACATCAGGTATTAGTAGTAGTGCTTAGATAAATTAGTCAAGGGCTATTGCCCTTATCATTAAGTTAGTACTGCCATTGCTGTCTGTCCATTTTATGTCACATTTGTTACACTATAGATACAGTATGGTTAAACAGTTCTATTAGACTTTACACCAATGATGTGTTTTATATTTTCTTGTCTCTTTGTACTGTTGAGGATCTAAGTTCTTATGTTCAATTGGTTCTTGAGCAGCAATATCTTTTGAATTTTAATATCATTAGCTCACATTAGTTTTTTCGTGGATGAATCTGGCAGTTGTCTATGTAGTGAGATCATTATGGTTTGGATCATCTTCAAAAGTTCTGACCACCAAACTGAAGCAACACAGCTTTTTGAAGCTTTTGCTTGATTTATGCCAAATTTTGACATGGATAAATCGAGTAAATTTCACAAACTACACTATTTTTTTTTTAAATATCACAAAACTACAATTTTAAAAGCTAGTTTCATATAACTACACTCTATTGAAACCAATATTGCAAAACTACAGTTTCTAAGATTAACTTCACAAAAATACACTTCAATTGTCAATTCATATAAAAAACTACACATTTATTGTCATTACACATTGCAAAATTTCAGTAGCCTTTAAAAGCATAGTTTTGTGTAATTGGTTCCCAGAGGTGTACTTTTGTTTTTGTACCTATTTCAATGAAAATGTAGTTTTAGAAAACTGTTTCTACTTTCTATGAAGTGTAGTTTTGCGATGATTTTCCAATCATTGTGTAGCTTTGTGGGTTCACTGCAGTATAGAAACTATAGATACCCTTACTCATATTTGAATGAGAATAAATTGTGGTATTGTGCGGCCATATATGCTCATACTTGATAGTACTTGACCATTGCTGTTGGTAGATACTCATCAATTATATATTACATGTTTTAACAATTGTTGTTGTTCTTGTTTGCTTTGACCTAACTCTTGCATTTTTGTTTGAAATGCTGTAGCTGAGTACCTGAACACTTGCACTGTTACGCTCTTATAATCCCTCAACTTGTGTCATCCTCACCACAATATCTCAATGATGTTGTTGCTTAGTACTTGAATCATGGCTGTGCGAAGCTAGTGAGTTCCTTGGCACGGGTCAAGGTTTTTGAATGCTACAGTGCTGCCAATTCTTTCAAACCTTATTTAGATTATATTAAATATCTATTGCATAAATACTGCAAAACTATGTTGTAAAATTAGTTAGATCTGTGCTTGTTGATATTTGCCCCTGTGCAGGAGTTCTAACTGGCACATATGAATAAAATGCTATCATGATCCATGATACCCTTTAAGATGGGTTTCTGTTAACGAGGAGAGAAAGAATGCACTCTATTGTTTCTTGTCAAACTCTTTAGGTACTTAAATTTCATATTAAAGAAGTACAAGAACAACATGAGTATCTAATCAAGTAGAGTTGTGGAATAGCAGACTTTTGTTGAACAGAGAGAAGTCCCTTTGCATGGTGAGTTATAGGATGGAATGGTCTCATTGGAGGTATAAAGGTGGCAGTGGTATAATGCACATGTCTTGTTGCAACCAATCGCGCTTTACTAGCAACCCTGTCCTGAATCTTGCAACATTTTCTACCAGTTATTTTTTGTTTGCACATCAACAGATAGTTGTGTATAATGCCTTTTTTGTTAATTCTTTTGCAGTTTCTGCCACTGCCGATGATTTCTGGCTATTATGTTGCAAGGTTCTTTACTAAGAAAAGCTTGTCATCGTACTTTACCTTTGTGGCACTTGCAAGCTTGATGGTCCTTTGGTTTGTGGTGCACAATTATTGGGATCTGAATATTTGGCTTGCTGGTATGCCATTGAAGTCCTTCACGAAGTATGTTGTTGCAGCTGTCATCATGGCAATGGCTGTTCCTGGTTTGGCACTTCTCCCAACAAAACTTCGCTTTCTTCTGGAACTGGGTCTTATTGGTCATACATTGTTGCTATGCTACATCGAGAACCGATTGTTCAACTATGCCTCCATGTATTACTATGGATTTGAAGATGATATCATCTATCCTAATTATATGGTTTTTATTACAACCTTTTTGGGCTTGGCTCTTGTAAGAAGATTATATGTGGATCAGAGACTAGGGCCCAAAGCTGCTTGGATTTTAACTTGCCTATATTCATCAAAATTAGCAATGCTGTTTATGACATCAAGATCAGTTATATGGGTCTCAGCTGTTCTGCTACTTGCTGTTACCCCCCCTTTACTTCTTTACAGGTATTTTCTTAAAATCTAGTGTTTTGATAGAAACACCAACAAAATTTTTGTTCCGCAATTTTTTGTTGATAAATTCTTCTTGTTTGTGACTTTCAGAGACAAGTCCAAAGGAGCTTCTAAGATGAAAGTCTGGCAAGCTTATTTCCATGCATCTGTCATAGCGTTTTCTGCCTGGCTCTGTCGGGAAACAATTTTTGAAGCTTTACAGTGGTGGAATGGAAGACCTCCTTCAGATGGTTTGTTACTGGGTTCATATATTCTGTTGACAGGAGTTGCATGCATTCCAATAATCGGTCTCCATTTCCCACATGTTCAGGTAGTTGTTTGTTACCTTCGTTCTTGTTAAAAAGGCTAATCATCCTACTGCTTACAACATATTAGATGTTGTGATATTTCTATGCTGTTATCGTTTTATTTTCAAGCAATATTTTGTGAAGGGCTGTTCATTTCCAGAGTTTTAGCATGATGTTAGGTGTTCTTACAATGGATAATTTACTCATTTTTTACACTAGGAATCTATAGATGTGTTTAGAGGCATGCAACTGGACTTGCAGTCATATTTAGTGTCAGACTGTGAGAGCATGCATATTTTTAGGACCACATGGCTAAATCGATAGAGGCAAGGTCAGACTAAAATGTATCAAGATCTCACTTGCAATGTGGAATATCAAACCTATCTTGCTTCCCTGGTAATTTATGAACTTCGCAAATTTAAAGAAGAAAAGATTTAGTTTACTTCATGGGATGCATTAACTTTGAACTGAAAACAGAGCCTAATGGTTTCAAAGTTTGGCCATGTATGGTCTGAATTGCTGACATTATTTTGTTAACTTGAAAGCGATAATCATTTCATTCGATGGATTATATTTTACCATTACTGAAGAGTTTTCAAATGATCAGGATGTGAGTTTTATAACGCTAAAAGATATGCTTTGCCTGAAATGGCTGTGATGCATGCAACAACATATAATTATGGATTTGGGACACCATAATTCAAAATTTGAACTTTTTGGACTATCATTTATCTCTGGAATTTTAGTTATGTAATTCCCAATTGTGGTTTTACTTCCTTAACCAACCATAAGAAATAGTCCTAGTAGCTTCTGTTTTTTGGAGTGTTATTAAGTTATATTCGTTCCAGTTGGATTCAAGTGTCATTTGAGCTGAGAACCAAATGATCAAGAAACACTGACGTTCAATTCAGTCTTTCCACTGATACCCTTTTAATATGATTGCATGCTATAGTTAACACAAGCTCTGCATTATTGCTTGCTCCAGCACAAAATAGCATGATTTGAAGTGAACCGCATGTTCACTGCTGTGTGCTCCTTGGTTAGTGGAGTGAACTCTGAAACACAACTTAAAACTGATTGCAGGGAGTATGGCCCACATATTTCTGATTCCTGTCAATGAAAAGGAATAATTTTTTTGCCTCTTGTTTCTGTAATTGAATTTGATTCCTCTTACCGAAAAGCATCTTCAAGTTAAAGATTGAACCATACCTCCTGTTTTTATTACTTCCGTTTACCCTCTCTTATGCTACTTTTTGCTCTATACCTGTCTACATCTTACAAATTCTTTGTTGCTGCACCAATTGATTATAGTTTCAATATTTCCTTGCAGTCAGCAAAGAGATTCCTGGTCCTTGTTGTGGCTACAGGCCTTCTCTTTGTTGTTATGCAGCCTCCTATTAAGCTATCATGGGTATACCGGTCGGATTTTATCACAGCAGCACATTTATCTGATGATGACATTTCAATATATGGGTTTGTAGCATCTAAGCCCACATGGCCGTCATGGCTGCTCATCGCAACTGTGGTACTTACACTAGCAGCAGTTACATCCATCATCCCAGTGAAGTATGTTGTTGAGTTGAGGGGCTTTGTATGCAGTGGCAGTTGGGATTACACTAGGCATCTACATATCTGTTCAGTACTTCTTCCAGGCAATTGTTCTGTATCCTCTTCTTGTTGCAACAATTGTCTCAGCGGCAGTCTTTGTCGTATTCACGCATCTTCCTTCTGAATCGAGCACAAGGGTTTTGCCATGGGTGTTCTCTTTCTTGGTAGCTTTGTTCCCAGTCACCTATCTGCTTGAAGGACACTTAAGATCCAAAAGTTTTGCAGATGAGGATGAAGCAGAGAAGTTCACCAACATGTTGGCTATAGAAGGGCTAGAATGTCACTTTTGGGTCTCTATGCTGCTATCTTCATGATTATTGCATTAGAAATCAAGTTTGAGCTGGCTTTGCTATTGCGTGAAAAGGCTGCAGACAGAGGTATGCATGGTCCATCTAGTCGGAGTTCTGCCTTCCCACCAAAAGCAAGGCTGCTCCAGCAACGAAGAGCTCATGCTGCACCAACATTCACCATCAAGCGGTTGGCAGCAGAGGCAGCATGGATGCCTGCTATCGGCAATGTTTCTACTGTGCTGTGTTTTGGCATCTGCCTGGTTCTAAATATAACACTCACTGGTGGCTCGAACCGTGCTATTTTCTTCCTGGCACCCATCCTTCTGCTCTTGAACCAGGATTCAGATATCTTCGCAGGATTTGGTGATAGGCAGCGCTATTTCCCAGTAACAGTTTCTATTTCTGGTTATTTATTATTGGCAGCATTGTATAGGATATGGGAGGAGACTTGGCCTGGCAATGGAGGATGGGCTCTTGACATTGGGGGCCCAGGCTGGCTGTTTGCTGTGAAGAATTTTGCTCTTCTTGTGCTCACTTTACCGAATCACATACTCTTCAACCGCTTCATGTGGGATTATGTCAGACAGACAGATGCCAAGTTACTGCTGGCGCTACCTCTCAACTTGCCTTCGATTATAATGACAGACATACTTACTATTAAAGGGTGTTAGGATTGCTAGGAGCTATGTACTCTCTTGCCCAGTACATGATATCAAGGCGTATAAGAATTGCTGGGATGAGATACATTTGAAATAGGACATGTAACTTTCAAGGTAAATCTGGTACACCTTACCAAATTGCTGCCAGTAGAGTCTGGTTTCCTGAAGCCACCTTTCAATGCATCGCTTGCAGGCTCTCACTATACATCAAATTCTTTCAAAGCTCTGGAACATTGCCTGGTCGGCTCGGAGCAAAATTGTGCCTTGTAGCAGAGAGAAACAAGGGTCGAATGACTTTGCTTTTTTGTACTGAATGAACTGTATACTTAGTGTTCGCTAAAGGTGTTGTCGCAGATATAGATATGTTTAACTGCAGATATGAGATGACATCACCGTGGCCCCTTTGAACTTGTGATGACGCAAAGTTTTGCAAGAATGCTATTCGATAAGCCTGAGCAGAAGACTTTGATGTAAGATGCTGATTACGCTTTTTTTTTTTGTTCCAGCTCGTGGGCTTGCTTTTCTGATTCCTGTAAAATTGTGCTTCTGTAAGCCTTGTAGCACTGGGACTGGCTCATAGCCTGGAACAGGAACCTGGAACTGGCTCATAGCCTGATATCCATGGTTCGTCTTAAAGCTAGAGGGAATAGGAAAGAAATTTAGCGGGGCCGAACTGGCACAGAAACTGGCTAATATACCACGTCATAGCAGCCTCCGAAATCTAACGATTAATCTTTTTAGGTGCTTGACATTTAGAAAAATGTCTTCTAATATTGCTATATTAATTAATATAATAGCTTAGAAACAATCATTTTAGCTGCTTGACATTTAGAAAAATGTCTTATAATATTGCTATATTAATTAATATAATAGCTAGAAACAAAAAAACAGTTTTTGGGGTCAGAAACGGTTAGGAGACTCGGGCCAAAATATTCAGAGGGAGAAAGAGGGTAGATAAGAATAATGGGCATGTTTGGTTGGGTTCTAAAACTTGCCCAACTAAAATTAAGTCATACCTGATTCTCAAAAAAAAAAAAAAGTCATACCTACAAATTTTGGCTATTGATTAATTTACTACTAAAAATTTGCATAATAATTTCTATGGCCAAAGTCATGGTAAAGCTAGAGAAAAGTACTCAATACTATGTTATGGCACTAAATGCATTCATATATTTTTTTTTGTCCTATAACTTTAGCAAGCCTAAGTTTTGACTTGCCATGATTTTGGTTGGGTAAGTTTTAGAACCCAACCAAGCAGGCCCAATGTCTCGGTTTTGAGGAAGACAAATTAGAGACATTCATGGAGAACTGATTGGGATAAACGCAAGGTAAGGCGTGTTTCGATCTTTAGACCCTGCTTGCATCGCCTGGCTGAGCTAAAAATTGGAAGGAAAGAGGTGTTTGGTTCACAAGTAAGGTCACCATGGGTTTCATGCTAGCAAGCTTTTGCTTGCTTTCTCGCAAGAGTCATTTTGGCTCGCCTACCCTAACAAAGCAAGGCTTGCTCACGCAGGCAAGGTGAGGCGAGCTGAACCATAGAACCAAACATGTCCTAGTCTTCTGGTCTTTTGTTTTACACCATGGATCCTACACACTATAGCTTGAGTTTCGATGGGCGTGCTTGGTTCTAGAGCCGGCCTAGCCTCGTCGGGCAAGGCGAGCCTAACCTTGCCCTGCAAGAGAGCGAAATTTGCTTGCCCCTTTCAGCAAGTGAAATCCGGAATACATAGGTTTCGATACACTTGCCTGGAAACCAAACATTCACCCCGCACGAACTTCTTCACCTCCCACATGAACTTCTTACTGGGCGAGGCCACATAATATCAGCAAGGATACCAAACAACGCTATTGTGTTGTTTCTGTTGCGAAACAATAACACCTTTCTTTTTAAGAGATGATTTCATTTTCATATATTGATTTTAGATATTAGAATTAGGATTACACATCTAATCATATCATCAAATGGAAATGTATCCTTTGGTTGTGTTAGTGAATGGTTGGTTAGGACATGACACCATTTCAACATACCCATCACACATATATATTCCAACAGAGATCAATGAAAGTAGAGTAGTTTTAATCCTTTGTTTAGTTTCTATTTATTTTTTATCATTTTCAGAGATGGAAACTTGTTAAAGAAAGAAAGTTCGAGATTCATGTGGCTCATGGGTAAACGCACTTTGAAACAACACAATTAGCTGCACATGGGCTCAAGCGCCGGCTTTCTCCCCAGGGTAAGCCCTTCTCAACCAGTGGCGGAGGAAGGATTAAAACTAAGGTATGGCGAAGTTTGTAATATAGATATGAAAGGTAACAATGTCCAGTGCATCGTCATTCAATTTACCAAAGCGTGTAAACACACAAATGCCAAATATTTGTGTCAAAATTAACATGTAAAACATTGCAAATTGTAATAGGTAATGATAAACCTCGTTGATATCGTGCTTTTGCTTTCTTTTCTAATTTTGATCCGGTGCTTCGTGTCGCGCGGGGATAGGCAACAGACGATAGCAAAGGTCACCACACCCATGGATGTGGTTGTGGTGAAGATGGTTATGGGCACAAGTGGGCCACGGTAACACGCATCATTGGGCCCAAATAGAATAACGGTTCAGTTAGCCCAAGTCTCTCCTTTCTCCTGCCGAAGGAGCTTCTCTCAGAGTCAGCCATGGTGAACGCCAAACATGGACGCATGACCTGCAATTCGCAGTGGATATCCACGCCAGAATTGAGGTATGGCTGCCATATGGGATCCTCCGCCCCTGTTCTCAACCTGACAACTTTCGAGAGAGGAAAAAGTCATATGACCTTCCTTAATTATTGCGCAAGTTCGGTTTACCTCCATCAATCGGGAAAATGGATTTTTAGACTTCTTTAACTTTTGAAGCCATCAGATTTGCCTCCCTGAACGGTTTTGAAAGCAGTTTTGAACTAACATGGTGCTACGTCAGCCGTCCTATATGGCATCACGTCATCTCGAGTGAGTTAAATCAGACTTTCACAATACCTGAGAGAGGTTAAGTAAACTTTATTAGAAACTTGTAAGAATATTCTTCAAAAAACTTATTCAAATATTTTTAAGGAAAATATGCACTTAAAAAATACAATAATCTCAGGAATCACTGGACCAACATCGGTAGCTAGCTAGCATGCGGCTTTCTTAGATTCCCGAAACGTTGTCTGCAACTTAGCTAGCAACATCTAGATGGAAGCAATTGTTTCCTTGTTCACCATTATCGTTGTCGATCTGCAACACACATGATTGAGTAGGATGACAGTTTGGATGGGCTCGAATGCTAGGTTTCATGCATTTTCTAAAATCATGCTCTATATTATGGTGACTAGATTAACAACATGAAGTCGCTTTCATATTTTCCGAAGTTAAAATAATTTTTCTATGAAATTTCTAAGGTTAGGTCAGATTTTAGTATTTTTATAAATGGATATTTATTTTAGAAAATATCGGAGTATTTCTTGAAAATTTATTTCTACAACTTTTTGTTAAAGTTTGATAGATTTCTTCAAATTATTACAAAAGTCTAATTTACCTTCCTCATGGTTGACGTGACATCATAAACTCCATGGTTTTTAAAGTTAGAAGAGTCTAAAATGTAATCTAATTTTATGATTAATAAGAGAGGTAAATCGGGCAATAGACGAGTGACGTCCGATAGAACTTTTTTCCTCTGAGCAACTCGTCCGGCCCAGGCGCTGCCAAGTCGCACCCACGGTGCGTTTCCACGTCCACCTTAACTTCGGCCCGGCCCGGTCCGTTAAGAACCGGCTGCGGTTCGGGGCCACCCAGCAGCCACGTCCAAGACGTTCTCCGTCTCCCCGTCTCGCTCGGCGTCGGCGGTCGGCCGATCTCACTATCTCTCCGCGCCTCTCGCCCGCCACCCAAGCAGCCATGGCGGCCGCGCTGCTCCGCCGCGCGCTCCACCTCCGCCGCGTGCTCCCCTCTCCCGCCGTCACCGCCGCCGCACAGCGCCTCGCCCCCACCTTCTCGACCACCCCGGCCCCGACGACCTCCCAGCAGAACGCCGCCACCACAACGATCGACCTCTCCTCCGACGAGAGCCGCCGCCGCCTCCTCAACAGGTGCGTGCCCGTATCTTACCCCGGTCGCCGGTGATGGTTCGCGCTTGATATTCCGTCTGCCCCCTTCGTTGAATCCCGAGTCACGTACGGTGCTTTTACAGGTTGGTGTACCGGAGCAAGCAGCGGGGGTTCCTGGAGCTTGACCTGGTGCTGGGGACCTGGGTCGAGCAGCACGTGCACGGCATGGACGAGGCCAACATCCGCGCCCTTCTGCAAGTGCTCGACCTCGTAAGCTCTCCTGCCTTTGGTGTGGGCGTGGGCCGCGTGGCCGACCAATCCCTCTTCCTCTCTCGCTTCCCAGGTTATCTGTGGTAGTTGCTTCAGCGGTTGGAGAATTATAGCAGGAGGAGCAGGGTAACGGGAAGGGGACAGAGGCTTAAGGAAGGAGACCTGTTCAGCTCTCTATTTGTTGAACATGCTGAGGACTGGTTGCTCAGTCCTTTAGCGTATTCCCCATCTCAAGTTGTTGGTTCCAGGGTTCTAGTCTAATTTCGTCGTCTGATTGTTCATCTCTGCCATCCTGTTCGAGTGTTTGTGCGTCAATTGGTTAATTGATTGTGCTGGTTAGTTGCTGAGTAATCTGGTATATGGTTTCATGTTAAACCATGCTGTTCCCTCACTCCTCAATCCTCATGTATGTTAGCAACATTAGGAGCCATACTTGATCGATGTAGCTGAAAGTGGCTTTGTTGTTAGATGGCCAAATCATGTTCTAGCATTTCATTTTTTAAATAAAATTTCTAATCGCTATTCTTCCATTCGAATAGCCTTAAAGGTTGAATTTTCTTATTAGCATTTGGAGTTGTGCTTGATGATGTCAAATTATTTGGATTTTGGGAACTACACAGAACAGATGTCTCCTGAGTCAAGGTCACATGAATATAAAAGCTCCTATATTAAGGTTACACGAGTGTAAAACCTACGGAGTATGATAGTAATTTATGATTCATACTGGATCATGTTTATCCTTCTCTATTAAAATAAATATCAGTTGCTACCTACCAGTTAGTCTTGTTTAGGGCAACGTATCTCTGTGAATTCAGGGCCTGCTTGGATGCCTCGCCGCTAGCTTCACTGCACAAGTCAATCCTTGCCAGAGGAGGCGAGCCGATCGCATCTTGCCCTTAGCTTCCTTGCTGGACGAGGCAGTGCTTGCCCGAGAACCAACCACACGCTTCGTGTCTGCCAATGTTTTTAAGGCATCGCTTTGGCGTCGCCTAATCGGCAAGGCGCTACAGGCGGGACGACTTGGCGGACGACTCGCCTCAGATTGGTATGGCGTCCGCCTTACTACCATGGCGTCCGGAAGTCGTCGATTTGGCGTCCGATTCGTCGAAATCGAGCAAGGCGGGCGCCATACTGGGATGCCCCACGGTAGGAAAGCAATGGGAAAAGCTGAGAGAGAGAAGGGTGCGCAGGAGAAACAAAAAGCTACTGGAGGGAGAGAGAGAGAGAGCGGGCGGCAGGAGATTCACCAGCAGGAGAGCGGGAGGGAACCGAAGCCGCAGCTCGCCTGCAGACGACGTTGCGTTCTCCAGCGCCGACGGGAGAAGTTGCTGCCCGCCCGCCCGCCCGAGCCGTGCGGCCGCTTTGTGCGGGCTGCTTGCCATGTTCCCCAATCGGCGCTGACTGCAACATCTTGCCTCCTCTGTTCCTCCATCGAGCTGCAGCGTCCAAAGCCCTTCTGTTCCTCCGTCTATCATGCAAGAAGAGCAGCACATCTGGAGGAGAGAGGGAAGCAAGAGACAGAGAGGGGTGGAGGCGGAGCGGCAGTGGAGAACGAGAGAGAGAGAGAGAGAGAGAGAGAGAGGTGCGGCGGCGCTGGAGATGAAGCAAGAGACAGAGAGGGGTATATGGGCTGCCTGGTGGGCTGGGCCAGACTACTTCTTGCTCCTTCTCCTTTCTTTTTCCTTTTTCCTTTTTCCTTTTTGTTTTTCTTCATTATCTACCGCTCTAAGCTGCTCTTTTAAGATTCACTTAAGATGTTAAGGCGTCGCCTCGCCTCACGCCTTAGTCGCTTTAGCGTAAGGCGGTAGTCAGTCGCCACGCCTCGCCTTACCGCCTTGAAAACATTGGTGTCTGCATTATGCTACGCTGAGAAAAAAAAGGATGTTTTGAGGGTGGAGGGTGGGCGTAGCACTAGCATAGTTTGCAACTTTGCATGCTCATGTACTGTCTTGTTGCTGTACACATATTGAACTTTGAATCAACAGAAACCAAAGCCAGAGCTCTGTGCCTTCATGAAAAATGCATGTTTATAGGCATAACATGATGGAGCTTCACAATTTCTAATACTGATTAGAATGTTACATGCTGTTTCCTAGTTGCTTGCCAGTCTGAGAACTTCTTTCAATAATTCTGCTTCAGTTGTCATTGGATCAGGGCCACTGACAGGTCCGAATCATCCCAGCTACCCATATCAATGTTATTATTTACCCAGACAAAGCATTCCATCAGATTACTTGTAATTTATCAGGTTAGTAAATAGGTGCCTTAAATCTTACCATTAGTCACAGATGAACACAAATTCCATTCTGTATGATGATTTTTGCTTTCAAAAGCTACTATAGACACAGGACATTGGAAATGCCGGAGCGAGTGGTGGTGAACTGTAGTTATTAAAAAATTCTTTTCTCCAATTTTTTTTTTTTTTTTTAAATTTGTATGCATTCTAATTCTAGGACTGTTTGATTCCCCAGGAAAACCCAGATTTGTGGAAATGGCTGACTAGTCAGGAGCAGCCACCAGAGGATCTTAATTCTAATCCGGTATGACATTCGGCAACTGTTGTTGTGTGCACTCATCTTTCTTGTAGGAAAAATTGCTGCTTTAATGGACAATTCATGTTCAAATAGGTGTTTGCTGCCATCAAATCAAAGGTCACAGATAACCTAACCAAGCATGCTTCTCCCGAGACCCGATCAACACCAGGTCAACCATGGGTTAGAGGATGGGACGACATAAAGAAAGGCAAAGATGGACCCAAGTATGGAAATCAGTGATAAGCTGCTTGAAATGGGGATGACAGCTTTACATCCTAAATAATAGCTTTGTCCCTTTCCCCCGTCTGCTTGTTTTGTGCTTGTGTAGAATAAAGTGAACTGTGACCGGCATGTGTGAAGTTTGTTGAAATGATATCGGAGAATCAGCTTGTAACTATGGATGACACTCCTGATGTGTCCCTGGCAGCTCCAGGTATCGTCTACTACTAGAAAGATGTTATGCATTGCAGTCTGTTAGTGATGGCAATTATTGAAGCATTTGGACTGAAACTTAAATATTGAAATGTGAACAACAAACACCATGGCCAGAAAGTTAGAAGTATATTTCTTGTTTTCCTTATTATTAAAATTTAAATGATAGTTTGTTTAAACAAGCCATTGGTGCAAACTCCTGCCTGATGAGTAGCCTTATATTCTGAATAGCTCATTGCTTGTGATGAGTACTACACCTTTTTCCTTGCGGACTTGCTAGCGCCCGGATGTCCGTCTGGGGCGCTAGCGTCCGGACGCTGCCGCGCAGAGGGAGCAAACGAGTGCATAGCGCGTCGGGCTCACGAGGGAGCGCAGCAACAGTGGGCCCATGCCGCCCCGGACATCGCCCACGCCGCTAGCTGTTTCTCACGCGCATCTCATGTGCAATACCCTATCTACTTTTGAAACATCTAGATGTAACGGTTGCGACATACAAAAGAAGACAAATGAAACACTTAAAACAAGCGTCTGAAACACTTGCGAAAACGTCGGAAAAACATTTGAAAGCCATTGCAAACATATTCAACATCCAGATGAAACACTCGCAAACATACGTATGAAACACCTGAAAACACTTAAAACATATGCTTGCAATATGCAACATCCAGCGAAAACGTCTGAAAAATATTTGAAAATCATTACAAACATATACAACATCCAGATGAAACACTCGCAAACATACGTATGAAACACCTGAAAACACTTAAAACATATGGTTGCAATATGCAACATCCAGATCTACTTTTGCAACATCTAGACAAAACAACATTTGTCTGGAGCAGATGAATCATTTGAAACATACATGTATAATCATTACAACATGTGCAACATCCTGATCTACATTTGCAACATTAATATACAACACTTTCAACATACCTCTGAAACATCAGAAGCACTTGAAACATACTATTGCAACATGCGCTTTCTGCGTAGCATCTACTTGCTGCTTGGACGAATGGAGGCTCGTTGACGCGGAGCTCGATGCCGCGGAGTGGCACGGAGATCACCAATGTGGAGCTCGGCGGCGGCACGGACCTCGACAGGGGTAGGCGGATGGAGCGCAGCCGTGACGGGAGGCACGAGTCCGGGCGGGGCACGCTGCGCGACGGGGATGCGGGCGGGGCCGCGCGACACGAGCAAGTGCGCCATGACCGAGGGCGGGGTCTGTCATGCAGCAGAGGCCCTCAGAGCGAGCACGCGACCCAGTGAGGGGGCGAGGCGTTAAAGCGAAGCGGGCGACTTATACGGTCCGTCCGGACGGACGGCCTATAAGCAGCATTACCGTTTTCCTTGTTAACTAGTGATAAGGCATCTATTATTACCGTGGTGTTACATTACTACACTCCTGAGAACATTGTGTTTATGTTGGCATGATAGTCTTGAGACTAAATTTTCTGTTGCTAAATTCAGTTTAAACACAGCAATGCAAGAACTGAAAATTGTGAATGTTTTTTTAAGAACTGTGAATGTTGCTTAGTTCAAATGTAGTTCTTTCATTGCTGCATTGTCAGAGCTCTGGTAGAAACTGGATTATTTGAGCTCAGTCTTTAGTATCAGCAGGATTATATATACTGGGTCAATGTGCAAAGAAACTGTCAGTGTAGTTTTCTGCTGGGATAGTAAATTGCAGAGTATTGATTTTCCACCATATATCCTGGACTAAGAGATAAACCATTTTGCAAAATGGTAATGCAATGCTCTATATGAAAAACAACTTCAGAGTGATTCCTGCTTAGATAGACAAATATCATCAGGAGCAAGCTGTCTTTTGTTTTTTCGGGGCCATGATTAAAATGTTTCAATATATGATACTGTATCATAAGGCTGGTGTGAAACAGCGAAAACAATCAGGAAGTAACTAAACTATGCAAAAGCAATCAGGAAGCAACGGTTTTGTACATGTAAATCCTGTGCTGTACAGTCCACTTATTCCACTACCCGTACACTAAAAAGAAGGATGATACCATTCTTACAAACGAATGAAGAAATGAAAGAATGACACAAGCTATATTTAAGGTTACCACCTCCTATACCAGCAAATTGCTCAAAAGATAGGATCAGCATGCCAGGTCTTGCATCGCAAAATCTTGTCAGAATGGTGTAATAATCGTGAGGCTTATGAACCAGCAGGGGCTTGCTGGGCTCGCATCACCATTTCTTCAGTAGTTGTCCCTATGATCTCATTTGCGCGCTTCAATGGGACACATAGGATCCTCCCGATTGAGTCCTGAGTAGAGAATTATTATAAGGTCCAACAAATTTGGAATGGACAAGGTTAAGAAATCTTGAACTGGCAGATCACACTGAATCAAGAAAAAGTTACTGCTCAAGGATTAGACAAACAGACGCTGGTCTGGACAGATACTTCTGTTATTGAAGATTTGCGTTAGTCACCTTTACAGGAATTGTAATAGAACTTACCCGAGAAACAATACCGAGTTTCTCTAGCTTCTTTACAGCATCCACAACATCAAAATTGCACTCCATACCAAACTCTTCCTTGATGAGCTGTTCGCAACGTAAATCAAGGTCCTGGACAGATGATAAATACGGGAATATCATGAACTTTCATATGCGCTCTAAGAGTTTTGTATTAAGTCTACTAGGATGATGAAATTTGCCTGAACAGCAACTGGAACATGAACAAACAGTATAATTATATGCTTAAGAGCTTGGAAATCTATAACATGTGAAAAAGAACAAACACAGCAAGTAGCGAGCAGGACTTCAATAAGCAATACAGAGAACTAGGAGATATGTTTACCTGTACAGTGGCCTTTCCTTGCTCCATCAAAATATAGTAAGAAATGATAACCTCCTTAACCTGCAAAAGTGTTCAAGGATACATCAGTGGCACACACAAAGCCTGTTAAATCTGTCAGGGATATAGTGAGGCTTGCATACTTCTTGCTGGATCACATCATCACACAAGTGAAGAAGTGTTCCTGTCCCACTATCAAGTTGCTTATCATACATTGACTTTGTAATCAAGTTTTGGTATGCAACCATATTTGCTTGGAATCTGTTTGGAAAGAGATAAATCCATCATGCATTAGTGTAGTACCAGGAATTTCGTTTCAAAAAAAGTGTAGTACCTGGAATTTTACCAAATCGGTAGAGGTAATATTCAGACATATATTAGTTATACTTATAGAGTAACATATGAGCAAAAGAAAATTTTCTTGTTGGGTATTATAAATAAAATCACTTACGTGAAGTATATCTTCGCACAGTATCCAATCAGACCAGATAAGATAGCTGTGACAACCCATATGTCAGCCTTTGGCATTTCTAGACTACCTATTAGAGTGACCTGAAAGGAAACACTATTCAGATGGTTGAAGATAAAGAAGCAGCATGTTTAATGATGAAAGCATCAGTGACATACCAAACCAATCACAGCAGAAATTAGAAATGTAACCCAATCCATCGGCGTTAAACTAGGGTTTTTCTTCTCTGGCTACAACACAAATACATAGTGATGACAGATACTTTAGGAGAGCAAATAAAACATGCCAAATGGTGCTTAAAATTAAGTGTCGGTATGGATTATGTTTCCAGCAACCTATATATATTACCAGGACTAACTCCATATCGGCCATCGGAATGTGCTTGAAGTGCTTTACAAATATCCCTCGATCTGGCTTACTTTCTGAGCTAGCCTTCCTATAATGTTAGGATCAGAATAAGCAACTATATCGACATGTCAACTCCAAAGATAAGAGAATTGAAGAAGGATAAAGGAAATGATAACCCATATAGAGTTATGTACCTATACACCACGATCATCCTTTCAAATGTAGGCTCTTGAATTGTAATTTTTCTTAATAGATTCTTTATGCTGTCATAAAAATGGAATATAGCACACATTACCAAAGAAGTTCAACCCTAATCTACCAAAATTCATGTGAAGGAAAGCCCGATTCTACAACCTCAGTTCCATTTTCTCTAGACGAACACGCTCAACGTAGAGATCTGGCTCTTCTACATCATCATTTATTTCGTCAGTCTTCTTTGTGTCCTTTCTTGACAGTACTTGTTTCTTCGCAAACAATCTATCGATCCTGATATTAAAATATTGAATTGGGCGATGCCGATGCATTATCAAAGGAATAACCATCACTTTAATCAAAAAAAGGAAAGAAGACTGATATTAGCGTGTTATACCTTGTGACTCGAAGCAATGACCTCCATGCTCGAGATATGATGACATCCACTTTTTCCATGAAGAAATAGTCAGTTGTATGATCAATTCCAATGCCCCGACGGAAGATAATATACTGTAAAGATATGTTTGATGTGAAGTAACTACTATAACACTATATATACTGAACTATGAAAAAGGAATCAGGGGCATGCCAGCTTGGATGACCTTGCGAGCAATGGGTACCAAGGAAAGAATACTTGTGAAGAGAAAATTAGAACAAGCAAACAAATTTCCCCAGTTCAAGTAATTGTACGGTTCAAGCAGGAAATATGACTAGCAGAATGAACTACAGAGAATGCACATACCTTATTAGCAAATGCTGGTAGATTGTCATGTGGGTGCTCCCTAAAGTACCTTGTCAATAGCTTGCTGTCTACCTATAATTTGTTCAAATATAGCTAGTTGAAAGTGAAGTAGATTGCTGTGTTAGCATACATATTGAAAATCTTAAGTGACTTCATATACCTTGGATTCATCAACCTTGATCGGGAGGTTTAGAAGATACTGACCAGACTGCGCTACCTCATACTCTTCGTCAGATAACAGCTTGAAGTTGCTCTTTTCCATAATCTACTTAGGACCATGAGTAGCATTTCGGGACAGAGGCAGTACAACTTATTATTGTGTATAAAATCTCAGATACCATACTCAATAGGGTGGAAAGGAACAGAAAGTGGGCCAACCTGAAAAAGGTAGGTTAAGAAATTGAGTTCTAAAGTGTCAAGCTCATTGGATGTCATGCCCTGCTGCTCCAAACTCTTCTCACCATTAACAGGATCGAATAAAGAAAACAGTTGCTGCATCACAGGAGAAAAATTAAGAAACTCGACTAACTTGGACTGTAAACAACGAATAGAAGGATAAGTACAAACCATTATATCATCAAACTGCAGAAGGTACCAAGCACGGATTGTGTACTCCACCCTCTTACATAGCTTCATGAACTCAGCACGGTCATTCTCACGCTCTGAAGAATAAATCAGGGGCATAAAATAGATATTCAGGATTATGGCATTATGGCGACGTAAAATAAATCACATAGTTTCAATTTTTAAATTTATAGACAGTATATCAGGATTAACATGGAGAAGTAAAGCAATAAGTCTATTTATTATCCAATAAAAGTCACATTATTCACTACAAATTAAATATTTAGGATTAGCAGACAACTTAAAACTACATTCAGGTAGCAAAAACAACAGAAAGTGTATTCACAGTATGCGTAAACTGGCAGCTTTTAGGTGACAGGCAGTTACTATAACACATAAAAAAAATCTACATACCAAGATCTATTGAGCAAAATACATTGTAGTGACCATTTTTTAGTTAAATTAAAGACAATTCATGGCAACCACATTAACTATAATAACTTCGAAACGAAGATGAAGGATAAGATTTCCCTAGCAGCATATTTCCATCCTCAAGAGCTTATCACAAGTGTGTGACAAACGAGACTGGACAGAATAAGCCAGTGGCGTTTTCTTTACTCGGTAGTTGAGTGGAATTCAGAGAACTAACGAATCTCTGTCCCCAAAATCACACAGTTCACTCGTTCCAATTCACTCGTTCCAATTAACGCCACCAGAAAAAAGAAAAGAAACATAATCCAATCAAATGATCACACAACGGAGCAGAGACAGCGAGTTTCAGGAAGTGCTGTCAATCAAAGTACGATCACTTCATCCCATCACAGTACGATCACCGCATCCATTGCACCCGAAGGAAGAAATCCGAGATATTAGATCTCTTATCCCGTTTGCCACGGAAGGTGGCCGGCGGCGGCAGCGGTGATCTATCCAATCCATTCACAGCAAATGCACGCAGCGCGCGAAACCGGAGCAGGATCGAACCAATGCAAACGAAACCAAGAAGCAGCATGCAGTGCAGGCAGGCCGGCGGCAATGGAAGGACGAGGACGATCATAGATAGATACCGATGAGGTAGGCGAGCTTCATGACGAGCTTGGGCTTGAGGATGGGGATGACGGACTCGCGCTCGAGCCGTATCACCTCCTTGACCACCCCGTCCTTCTTGGCCTTCTTCATCGCCTCCGCCGCCACCGCCGTCGCTGGCTTCCCTCCCGTCTCCGCCTCCATCAGCGGCCCGGGCGGCCGGTCCAATGTATAGAGGAGGCGGCCGGGCGGGATCGGATGCGATTCGAGACGTGGAACTGGGGCGAAGGATGGCGTCGGTTCGCGGGAAGACGGAAAGCGGCGATGCCGGGACCGGGAGGACGGGGAGAGGGCCGGGGGCGATGCTGCTTCGCGCCTTTTCGCGGTGGCGGCACGAGGGGGGAGGGGCCGGTTGGTTGGTTCCGGATTTGGCAGGGTGATTAATAACCGTTGATTAATCATCATGAGTGGTGGTGATTAATTAGAGACGTAAGCTGTGACTGTGACTCGTTTAGGGCAGTCCCGATCCAAGCACGAAGGTAGTTTCGATGGAATTAAATGAGCTGCCATGTCATAAAAAAAGCTGATAAGACAAGCAATTTAATGATAAGATAAGAGATGAAAAATAGAGGCAGAACAGCCGTTTTAGTCCTCGAAGCTCATTTTTTGGGCCATTCGGCTGGTGCAAATACCAGCCGGAAAACACTGTTTACGCTCTCACAAATTTTTCTAGATTCATCCAGATTTCTCTAAATTCCTCCTAGCGAACAGGGCCTTTATCTCTGAACTTTGAAAATGGCCTTTTAGTCCTTAAACTCTACTTTTAGGCTCAATTTCATCTTATAACTATGAAGTTGATCGTTTCAGTCCTTAAACTTTGCACTTTGGACTCAATTTCATCCATAAACTATCAAAAATGTATTTCGGTCTTCAAATTTTTATTTTCAACTCAACTTTGTCTATCATCCTACGTGGAATGCTGCACTGTTGCACATGGTCAGCTCCAACACCACCAGCGATTAGAGATAGAAAAAATAATATTCATCCAAAAACTCTTTATTGGCCATTAATAATTCTAAGTTGTTATTTTTAATGTTATCTTATAATTGTATCGTTTATATATATATCTGACTAGATGATTTTTGTGGGAGCAATTATGATAGCTTCGAATGCTATTTATTGCTTAAGAAACATGAATATATTGAAACAATAGCAAATCTACATTTTTTCCTTAGCTACTTCTAGTGTTAGGCCCAATTAATAACCATTTGTGTATAAAATAATATTTTTATCCATAGGCGAAAAATAATTCATATTTAAAAATATTTAGATCTATATTTATATTCATCTTAGAATATGAATATAAATGTTGAAAGTGTGTTGTCGGATTTGATAGTTGGGACGACGCTAGGGACAATAGTACCTAATGATGAATGTCCATCTCAAGTCGCAGGTGGTGCTGGACAAAGGACGAAGTTGAACCAAAATACATTTTGATAATTCATGAATGAAATTGTGCCTAAATATAAAGTTTTCTTGAGTTGAAAATAAAAGTTTAAAGACCGAAATACATTTTGATAGTTTATGGATGAAATTGAGCCTAAAATACAAAGTTTGATGACTGAAACGATCATCTTCATAGTTCTATGATGGAATTGAGCCTAAAAGTAGAGTTCGAGGACTAAAACGGTCGTTTTCAAAGTTCAGGGATGAAAATGAGCCTCGGGTAATTGTTCAGGGACCAAAACGACTATTCTGCCAAAAATAGAAGACACTGTTTCTAACGTGGGCAACGAAATCCTCACATCATCCAACGCATTAGGAGACAAAGATTTTTGTGTTAGGACTTGGAAAGAAGCGGACACTTTCTTAGCGAGTTTCATGGCTATGTTTCTATGACTCCATGGCGTTGGAAACAACGTAAACAAGTTTTATCCCGATGAAACTCATTTTCATCCCATGAAACTATTTTCATCTCTCTCCTCATTTAAACTATACCACATCAGCTTATTAAATGCACATGAAATCCTCATTGAGACTCACGTTATACATTGAGAGAGGACAATCAATTTATTGTGACGCCACGTTAAGAAACTGGTGCGATGGGGGCAGTAGTCTCCAAACGTAATTTCTTGCTGACGTGATTGCTATGAAAACTACCCTCTAGTCTTCGGGTTGGGACAGTCCTTAAGCGAGCATCGCAGCCGCCAGGTAATTCGGGGTGCTGTGCTGACAACCCCTAAGGAACAAGAGATTTTGAATAAAGCAATGGACACGTTACACCATAATCTAATTATTTGTCACGTCAGCAAAATTCGATGAAGTGGAGATGCTATTGTTGTATATGTATGGTTGTTATAGTTTAGTTTGAGTAGAGACAGAAGTAAATTCATCCGATCCATTAGGGTTTACTAGCAAGCAAAGGTGCTTGTGCATTAGATCGTTATCCGATTCGAAGTTGTTACGTGCTCGCTCATAGTTGTCTCGCTCTCGTACCCCACCATCCATTGCTGTGCTTGACTGTGACAAGTGGCGACATGCCGACATTCTCGAAGCACCTAGACACACTAGTTAGACGTCCATCTCCGAGCAGTATCGCTAGAATTTACATTTTCTTTATCGGTAATGTTTGGTTGAGGGTGTTCGTCCGTTCGGACGGAACGAACCGCGCGACGTGATGACCAACAAAAAAAAAGGAGCGGGTGTTGTAGTCACAGGGCCCGCACCGGTCCTTTCCTCGGTCAGCATATGGGAGCACATGTGACCACTCGTTCAGCGTGGAGTGCATGCGGTGCGTGGGGCCCGTGCATGTGCAGTGACCAAAGAGAGAGAATGACTGGGGCTCAGAATTCATAAGAGGAGTGCGCGGGGGGAGGGGGGCGCATCTGCATGTGGGCATCCAACTCCGCGTCAGCGTATGTTTCATCCAGATATTGTATGTGTTGTAACGACTATACACTGCGTTGCACAGGGGCGGATCTACAGTATTTTATCGGGTCCGCCGACCCTGATGACCTTCCGTGAACACCAGATATCCTCCGTTCTGCCACCAGCTAAGACCCCAGTAAAATTCGAAGTTGACCCCGGCGACAACTGTCAGCCCCCAAGAGAATGCGTCGTGTTTCATTTGCTAAAGGCCGATAAGCCACAAAGCCCGCTGCCTGGCATGAACGTGGAGTTGTGTTCTCATGGCCTCAAGCTATTAAGCAGACAACGCGGCCCAAAAGGCCCAAAGCCTTACCGATCGATTGCTATCCGCCTCTCCTGGAGACTCGCCGAAGACACCGCGAGGGCAGCCGACGATGTTGTATAACTAGTGCAGGGCGCGCGCCATCGCGCGCACATGCAGGCACAAATTTGAAGAATGAACAACGTGGTGATGGATGGGTCAGCGAGATTATTTCATAGATGCTCAGCAGACCAAACAAATAATATGAGTAAGAGTAACATAGATACGAAGCTAAAAGCCATTTGCATAATTTTGTACTGTATATTACCAGTTCATTGCACCTGCATAACATAAAGTGTGAATCCAACAGCCTAGCTGCCTCTGTACTTGCCCTGCGAACATCTTCAGATAATGATACCATCCTGGGAAGAACAGAAGGTTGAACCAGAGGAAGTTGCAGTGCATCTAGTTGCGGCAATGATGCAACGACATATGCAAAACTGACCTACACAATACAACATGCAACTGTCAGAAAAATTGTTCGGATCTGAGACCTGTATATATTCACTGGAACCTGTATTTTTCTAAGAACCAGCATGCTGCAAACATATATGTATACTTCCGTATAACTATATTGTTGTTCGAGTATTATAATTATAGAAGACTATAGATCAAATTACAAGCCCAAAGCCCTATATGGGTTTCTATAAATGCCACATCCCACAAAACAGTGCAATTAGTAAATTGCAGTGGCTTAAAGAGTTGCATACATATTTTATATAGGGTACTGAGGCCACTGAATCATATGTTTCCTTTGACTTAGAGGTGATACGGTCAGCTAATCTTGTAATCTCAGTTGCTGACACGTTGACTTGAGCAGCAAACCCTGGAAGCTCTGCAACCACTCAAAATTCAAAAGAAACATGCTGTAGTAGAAACACAGGCAGAAAAGCACTATATTACCTGTGGTTAAGGACCTCAGAAGATAGAGGAGAGCGCCAGGCGTAGATTTCCGGAATACTTCTACAGGGAGCATTCTCCGTTTTATGCCTTGAAGAGGACTCGAACCTCCACGCTTTTTAGCACGAGATTTTGAGTCTCGCGTGTCTACCATTTCACCATCAAGGCATCTTGAAAGTGAATTGTATTCCATGAATATGAGATATGAAGAAGTAATCCAACAATACCTTACAATAAAACCAACAATCAGAATAGATGCAAACCACATTTGTGCACATTCCCCTGATCTGCTAGTTCCAACTGTAAATCGAATAGGTGTGTAGATGATCAGACTTTTAAACGGTTGGGCAAGTCAATTTAAAAACTCATAGAAGCTCATATAAGGATAATTGACACAGCTGAGCGAATACTCCATGTATCCATTGTATTATAGACTAAGACTTTATCAGAACCTAGATGGATGGGCAAGAAAATAAAAGAAACAGAGATCATGAAACAATAATTACGTAGCTAAATCACTACTCCATAGACTGACTGGTCCATAGTCAAGTAAAATCCATATTGATTGAATTGGTTGATGAAAAAGGGCAACAACCTGAGATATAAAGCAAAGACTCCAGGCTGTTGCGTAAGGGTGAAAATGAATTCCTTGAATCTATAAGTAGTACTGCAATAAATTCGGCTGGACACTGTATCCCTTCCATATGACTAAGACAGTATTTTGTTAAAGGAAAAAAAACTTGAGAGGTCTGGCTAATAAAATGTTTCATACATCCTAAGATGCTGTGAGATGGCAAGACTAGGCTATATGTTTTAGTTTAAATGAGGGAACTAATATGTATAAATCACGTATCATTATTCCAAATAACAAATCTTTCAGGAAAAATAAAAGGAATTATCAAAATATCAAAATCCATGTTTTCAGGTCTTTGATGTCTAGGATCATCTATCTATTTGCAGTACTCAGGAAGCCTATAACTAAAATAACCATGTTATCTGCAACTACATATAGCAGCATAACTATTCAAAATTAGTTTAAAGATCAAATATGATCAGATGCAAAACTAAAGGAGCA